TACTTTGGGTCTCTCTCTCTCTCTCTCTCTCTCTCTCTCTCTCTCTCTCTCTCTCTCTTCTCTCTCTCTCTCAGATAGTATGTGAAAATGCTATTTCTGGCTAAAACCAAACTACTATGGAAACATTTCACATACTGTATTTAGCCGCAGTTTAAAACTTACAAATATTTTCAAGTCTCACACTGAACGTACTCAGCTCAGTCCCAGACTCTGGACCGACACCGGCTGATGTGAGACTCTGGACCAGAATCAGAATCAGAATCATTTTTATTGCCACGTAAGTAACAGGAGGTCACAGACTAGGAAATTGCTTTGGCTCAGTGCAACAGTCAAAAAGAGATAATAAAAATAAGACACCGGCTGATGTGAGACTCTGGACCGACACCGGCTGATGTGAGACTCTGGACCGACACCGGCTGATGTCGCCAAGTCTTTGCCTAATTCGTGGAAAGGCTTGGTCTCAGCCGCTCTCTCGCTGTCTTTTGAAGTGTGTGGAGCAGCGAGCGCCTGTGCGTGATAGAAAATAGTTTTGGTGTTTGGTAATTAGCCTGAAACCGGAGCCTCATGAGACCGGGCCCCGACCTCTGCACCTATTTGTGGTTCTGATGTCTGTGCCTGAGTCGTGACCTCAGTTTGTACAGACACAACACACAATCCTTTAGTTGTTGCAGAAACTGAACTGTTTTTAACCTGGATTTGAACATTGTCAGAGGAGAAGCCTGTCTCATATTTTCAGGAAGACTGTTCCAGATTCTAGCTGCACGAATCTGAATAGCAGCCTCCTCATGTTTAGTCCTGACTCTGGGACCAGCAGGAGGCCAGTCCCTGTGCTCCTCAGAGTCCCAGCAGGAGGCCAGTCCCTGTGCTCCTCAGAGTCCCAGCAGAAGGCCAGTCCCTGTGCTCCTCAGAGTCCCAGCAGAAGGCCAGTCCCTGTGCTCCTCAGAGTCCCAGCAGGAGGCCAGTCCCTGTGCTCCTCAGAGTCCCAGCAGGAGGTCAGTCCCTGTGCTCCTCAGAGTCCCAGCAGGAGGCCAGTCCCTGTGCTCCTCAGAGTCCCAGCAGAAGGCCAGTCCCTGTGCTCCTCAGAGTCCCAGCAGGAGGCCAGTCCCTGTGCTGCTTAATTACCAATCCTAAAACGAAAAGCCACCAAATTGACTGCTCGGGGAGTTCCCAAAGAAAGTTAATAAACTCCGGACATTTAAACATAAAAGAACATTTCATGAATCAGACCTCTGAAGCTAAGCAGGACAGGGCCTGGTTAGTGATGTGATGGGAGACCTCTGGGAACAGCAGGTGCCACAGTGGGGCGGCTGCGGCTGTAAAGCAGCAAACTGTGGTTGTGTCATTAGGATGGTGGTGGGAGGGGCCGATGGCACATAATGGTTGCCTCGCTTCTGTCAATGTGCCCCAGGGCAGCTGTGGCTACAATAATAGTTTACCACCACTGTGTTTGGAGATAATAAACAATAGACTTTGAGTGTCCATAAAAGCACTGTATAAAACAATATATTATTATTATTATTTTTAATATTATTATTATTATAAAAACAGAACCCTGTGTAAGTCAGATGTGGCCAGAACAGCAGCACATTGACAAACAGTCTGTGACGTGCTGGACTCACAAACAACAAGTTTATTTTAGTCGTGTTCCCTCAGATGGGACTGTGGTCTCTGCAGCAGACAATGCCTCTCCAGGGGCCTCGTGGTCCCAGCTGGCAGCCCCTGTCCCTCACCGGGGGCCGCTCTGGGGAAGCCCCTCACACGTGTGGACGGATGAAAAGCTCACGTCTGTCCTCGGGTTTCTCTGTTCAGACGCGGATCAGAAGGAGAATCCTCTGTGACGAAAACACGAGGACAGGATGTTGTTGTTTGGATTTTTGTTCATGAGCGACAGGAAACTCCTGCTGTTCAAGTATCAAAGTGACCTAATTATAGCTTCATCTGCCTGATGCACTGCTGTACGCTACTGCTGCAAGACTTTATTCCATACAATGGATCCGAGAATCCAAAAGTTCAAACAAAGGAAATGCAATAATAACAAACACTTAGAGGCATTGGTTCACAGGGAGCAGAATGACCACGGAAGATCCAGACTGAGGCTGTAGACCGAGGACTGAGGCTGTAGACCCAGGACTGAGGATGTAGACCCAGGACTGAGGCTGTAGATCTTGGACTGAGGCTGTAGATCCTTCTGCCATGTTGACATTCTTAAAGCTACAGTAAATCTATTTCATTTGCATCGTAACTTGATATCCAACCCCTGCTTGAACTCTTTGGATTCTCTCCCAGTCTGAATCCTAGCTCCCAATTAAATCATCCACATGCGACATCAATCAACTCCTGCGTCCGTCACTTGACAGCTCCCCGGAATATATTTGATTACAGCCTAGCATTAGCGCTAATATGATGTCATGTAATCGTCTGGGGCACTATATAAGGCAGCACCTCGTCTGTTGGAGAGGAGGCTTTCCCCGAGCGACAGAGGTTAAATAATAAATAATACCCTGCATGCTCCACATCGCACACTGAAGTGGCTTTTTTGGATCAAACCCCTCTGGAAGGAGTCCAGGCAGGCAGGAGTCTAGGCTGGAGTCTAGGCTGGAGTCTAGGCAGTTATCTAGGCAGGAGTCTAAGTAGGAGTATAGGCAGGAGTCCGGGCAGGAGTCCGGGCAAGAGTCCAGGTAGAAGTCCAGGCAGGAGTCCAGGCAGGAGTCTAGGCAGGAGTCTAGGTAGAAGTCCAGGCAGGAGTCCAGGCTGGAGTCTAGGCAGGAGTCTAGGTAGAAGTCCAGGCAGTTATCTAGGCAGGAGTCTAAGTAGGAGTATAGGCAGGAGTCCGGGCAGAAGTCTAGCCAGGAGTCCAAGCAGGAGTCCAGGCAGGAGTCCGGGCAGGAGTCTAGCCAGGAGTCCAGGCAGGAGTCCAGGTAGAAGTCCAGGCAGGAGTCCAGGCAGGAGTCTAGGTAGGAGTCTAGGTAGGAGTCCAGGCAGTTAGCAGGAGTCCGGGCAGGAGTCTAGGCAGGAGTCCAGGCAGGAGTCTAGGCAGGAGTCTAGGCAGGAGTCCAGGCAGGAGTCTAGGCTGGAGTCTAGGCTGGAGTCTAGGTAGGAGTCCAGGCAGTTATCTAGGCAGGGGTCTAAGTAGGAGTATAGGCAGGAGTCTGGGCAGGAGTCTAGCCAGGAGTCCAGGCAGGAGTCCGGGCAGGAGTCCAGGCAGAAGTCCATGCAGGAGTCTAGGCAGGAGTCCATGCAGGAGTCTAGGCAGGAGTCCAGGTAGAAGTCCAGGCAGGAGTCTAGGCAGGAGTCCAGGCAGGAGTCTAGCCAGGAGTCCAGGCAGAAGTCTAGGCAGTCCAGGCAGGAGACCAGTCTGGAATCCAGGCATTCGCGGCAGGCCAGTGTGACTCTGTTGTGTTAGCAGAGAGATATATCGGTACGTGAGGGGTCCCTGAGAGCCGGACACTTGGAGAGCACAAGTGTGAGATTGTGAGTCAGCGCTGGCAGACGCAGCAAAGACCATCTGTCAAACGGAGAGCGGAATCACGGGTAAACACAGTCCGGCTCCGTCACTCTGACCGACCCACGGAATCCAAACAAGCCGCCCGAACACAAGAGAGTTCTGAGAATGGCTTGCGTCGGGATTAACTCTGGACTTTCTGGGTTTGTTTTGCTGTGCTTCTTTGTTGTGTTGAGTTATGTTGTGTTGTGTTCTTGGGTTTAACACTAGAACTACCACAGCAGTCAATTTGACGGGTTTTAGTTTTGTGATACCTGTGTAATAACTCGATGTTTGTATAGTGTTGGTGTTGGCTGTGTGGATTTGTCCGTCTCTGTACAGCAGTGTGTAGTTTATTTTTGTGTGGTTATTTGTGTAGAAGGATCTTTTATCTGTGAGATGTGAGGAGTTGTATATTTAGCTGAATGTTTGAATAACAATTGACAACTTTTATGGACTTTATCAATTTTTCTGACATTGGAATCTGCTGCTTATGGACCAATCTTACGGATAAAAACCAATGTTTTTATCTGTGCTTGAACGGTTTGATTTTCTGATCTGTTGTCGGTGAATCAACAGTTTTCTAAAGTCTTCCCAGGAAACTACTGTTGTGATTTAGGGCCATATAAGTTTAAATTGAATTGAATTGAACTCCCAGAGCAGTCATGTACAAATCTAATGTATTTTCTAAAAGTTAAATGCAGTTTTATCAATTACTAAAGGTTTAAAAATAAATAAATAATTTAAAGACGTTTGAGTGTTAAGTTTAAGTGTAGTTAATGCTTTTGTATGTCGTAATTTTAAGAAAAGTTTTGCAGATTTTACTCTATTCTTACTTTGTTTGTTTGCACCGAGAGCCAAAGCAATCGTCGAGTTAGTGACTTTCTGTTACTCACTAGAGCAATAAAAATGATTCTGATTCTGAAGAACTGAGCCGTCAGAATGACTGCTCTGTCTGTTGCAGAGGTTTCAGAACTGTGGGTGTCCTGGTGTTAAATGTGCTCAGTTTAAATATGTATCCGCGGTTTGCTGTTTCGTTGCATTATTGATGGAGTTCTCCCAAAGCTCAGACGCTTCAGCGACAGTTTCAGAAGCAGCAGTTTTTGGTTCGAAGTAGATTTGTTTTCTGTGTTTGTTTAAAACCAGGAATCCCAGAGCAGTCATTTTGACAGCTCACATTCAGGTTTATTGAATTATCGTATCAAAATTAAGTCTTTCATATATCTTTTAACCTAAGTGCACGGTAAAACTGATTAATATAAAGGACGTGAAAACTAAATGATAATTGACCCAATTAAACAGTTTGTAGCTATGGTAACTAGCAGCTGCTCCAAACTGAGATTGCTCTGAACCAGTGTAGGACCAGTCTAAGACCAGTCTAGGACCAGTCAAAGACCAGTCAAAGACCAGTCAAAGACCAGTCAAAGACCAGTTTAAGACCAGTCTAGGACCAGTCTAAGACCAGTCTTGGACCAGTCTATGACCAGTTTAGGACCAGACTAAGACCAGTCTATGACCAGTCTTGGACCAGTCTTGGACTAGTCTAGGACCAGTCTAAGATCAAGCTAATTTAATAAACGTCATTGTAGAGAAATTAACTACGCATAGAAACAGGAGGAATTTCTACGTTTTGAAGACCAAAAACATAAATGAGTGGATTAACTACACTTCCAAAATGAAAAGCCGTCAAATTGACTGCTCTGGGAGTTCTAGTGTTAAGGGAGAAGTCACTTGTTTACAACTTTACCTCCTGTAGTTCTTTTAATACACTCTCTGCTTTAGTCAAATCTATTTTTGTTTATTGATTGCATCATGTTTCATACAAAGCAAATTCAATCAAAGTTTGATTAGAGCGAACTTTTCTCTGAGCCCAGATTAAAGGGTCAGGTTTGTTGTTGTGCTTTTGTTGTTGTAGTATCTAGGACGCTATGGCCAAGCATGTGCAATTATTCTACCATTATACAACATGTTTCTGTGGAGTCTGCGGTCGCCGGGCAGATGTCTGCACCTCAGGCGTCCACATTCATACGCTCTGAAATCAAACAGCACGTTTACAGGCGGACCATGTGTGGACTCGGGATTAGTCGGTTTTATAGGGGTTCATTTTATGATGGGCGATAAGTTGTTCGGGAATTTGAGTCCGTCGTCCGTTGGCTTGAATGCTAAAGAGCTAACCTTAAAATAATCTTATTGTGATGTGTTTATATGAGTTTAAATTGGCTGTGGTGGCTCGGATCATTGTGGACTGTGCCGTCTGATAATGTACTGCTCTCCTGTGCTGTGTCCTCTCGTTTATTGTGCTTTCTGGTCTTACAATAGGGTTGCAAAGGGTAAAAGATTTCAGGTAAATTTCCATGAGAAGTTAAGCTGGGGAATTTTGGGAATATTCCATATAGGAAACCTATTGGGAATTAATTGAAATGTAAGTAAGTAAGTAAGTAATGTTTATTTATATACCGCCTTTCACAGACCAGAGTCACAAAGCGGTTTACAATTGTTATTAGTCTCTCACTCCACACAGAGATGGGAGCTGGGCCAGTACAGGAGGCACATGCCAGACCTATTGTACATGTTTTTAGTGGTAGGGGAAACCGGAGTAGCCGCAGGAAACCTATGCAGACACGGGGAGAACATGCAAACTCCACTCAGAAAGGCCCTGGTCCGACCAGGCTTCGAACCCAGGACCGTCTTGCTAAAAGGCGAGAGTGCTATCCACTCAGCCCAGTATGTAATGTAATTGTAGTATATCCAAGCCTACAGTACATATGAACAGAATTCAGACGATGTACTCAAAATGTCCTTAAAATATGATTTGTATGAATAAAAGAAACAAGCTTCAATTAATTTATTGAAAAATCACTAATTTCATGGAAGAACAAGAAACAGGAAGTGGAATGAGCTTCAAAACATATTACAGGGAGCAGAAAAACAGCCACATGAGGAAGCTAGCATCTGGCGTATGTGGTAAATAATGTTATGATACTGTAGCTATATTCAATTCCCAGTTTATTCTGATCTATTCCCGTAAATCCCTGTTATTCCAAAAAAAATCTGATAATTCCCATGTTAATTTTTCTGGAAAATGTCTGGAATTTTGCAACCCCCTCTAACAACCCAATCACAATCGTCCAAGGAAATCTATTTGTAGATCGTCTGAGACTTCAAGAGTTGCACTTTAGCCGTGAGGGGAGTTGGCAGCGGATAGAACCTGGCATCTTTAAAGGACAACTTCTGTAAACTCATCGACCAATTTGCTTAGCTCAAAAGAGAGAGATTTCCAGGCGAGACGGGAACTCTTTACCGTGCGATTGTTGACTGTGGCATCTGCAAATGTATTCAACTTTGACATTGGAAATATCGAACCACAATCTCAGTTATGGAATCAGTGTTTCATTACTTCTGTCTGTTTTATATTTTGCAGAGACTCCAAGATGCAAAGTCAAATGTCCTCAGAGCAAACAAATCTGACATCTTAACTGCAGCTGGTTATGACAATCTGCACTTTGAGACATAACCGGTGAGTTTTATTTTTGTATAGCCCTAAATCACAAAAGGAGCAGTATCTCAGAGAACTTCACAAAAATAGTTGATTCACCAACACGGATCAGAGAAAAAAACAGTGTCAATGTCCATAAATGTTTAATAATGTCCATTAATGTTATTTTTTTTGGATCCTTAGACCCTCCTGTATCAGCAAGGAACAACCTTTTCCATTGTGTGTATGTTGCACCGTTTAGTATAGTTTAATAGTCGTTTAATGCAACTCTAGTGACAAGCATTTATGATTGAGGCCATTCACTTATGTTTGGACATAAAGCCCCATCAGTCAGCAATCTCATTTGGCCTAGAAGATCTGAAGGGACGTTATCCATTCCCTGTTTATAGGTCTAAAGACTGAAGTAGGACAAAGTAAATCTAAGTCTGTTTCTCACAAAAGTGTTTTAACAATCACATGTGTGTTTGTTGCACTATTTAATCTAATTCTGTATCTGCTCTTTCAGTCTGGAGGAACGATGTTTGTGGAGTCGGTGGTCCGATGGTGGGCTTGGTGCGTTCTTCTGGGAGGCCTGGGTGCGTCCGCGGGGAGCTGCCCTTCACGCTGCACGTGTCGCTCCGAGGCCAAAGAGGTCATCTGCGCCGGCAAACATCTGAACTCGGTGCCGGAGGGCTTTTCCAGCGATGCCAAACGCCTGGATTTATCCTACAATAAGCTTAAAACTGTGGGGCGGCGCCAGTTCTCCGGGCTACCACTCCTTCAAGAGCTGGACCTGAGCGATAATCTAATCTCCATGATGGAAGTCGAGGCTTTCCAGGGCCTTCAAAACCTCAGGACTCTTCGGATTAAAAATAACCGCCTTAAGATCATTCCCGTTGGCGTGTTCTCAGGCCTTTCGACTCTTCGCTTCTTAGACCTGAGCCAGAACGAGATACTGGTCTTTCTTGATTACACTTTCAAAGATATGTCCAGTTTGCAAATACTAGAAGCCACTGAAAACGATTTGGTTTTCATCTCCCAGCGAGCGTTTGTTGGGCTTGCAAACGTGGTGGAGTTGAACTTAGATCGCAGTAATCTGACTTCCATCCCCACAGAGGCTCTTTCACAGCTCCCAAGCCTGGCTCGACTTCGCATTCTCCGCCTTACCATCCCCGCCATCCCCAACAACGCTTTCCGAAGACTGCACCGACTACGCAGCCTCGTCATCTCCAGTTGGCCTACCTTGGATACGTTGGCCAGCAACAGCCTCATCGGACTCAATTTGACCTCCCTTGTTATCAGTAACTGCAACCTGAGCCAAATCCCTTACCCCGCCTTGCGTCATCTAGTTTATTTGCGCTATTTGGACTTGTCTTACAACCCGATCACGGCCATCCAAGGAAACCTACTTGGAGATCTTCTCAGACTTCAGGAGTTGCACCTAGCCGGAGGGAGTTTGCTACGGATAGACCCTGGAGCTTTTAAAGGGTTAACCAACTTTCGCATGCTCAATGTATCGTCCAACCAGCTTAGCACCTTGGAAGAGACTGCTTTTCATTCGGTGGGGAACCTCCAGGTGTTGAGGCTGGACGGTAACCCCTTGTCGTGCGATTGCCGCTTGCTTTGGGTGGTGCGTCGAAGGTTGCGGTTGAACTTTGACGGAGCCCAGCCTACGTGTGCGTATCCGGACGCGGTGAGACTACGGCAGTTCAGAGACTTCTCCGAGAAAGAGCTTCCGAGACTGTTCACTTGCCGTCCGGCGAGAATCCAGGACAGACGACCTCAGGAGGCGAAAGTCGAGGAAGGCACTACTGTCTTGTTCTCGTGCAAAGCTGACGGAGATCCAGCTCCTGCCATCACCTGGATTTCGTCACACAGGAACGTCATCTCCGCTACCGGACGAATCCGCGTCCTTCCCAACGGTACATTGGAAGTGCGTTATGCCCAAGTCCAGGACAGTGGCTCCTACCAGTGTCTTGCCGGTAACGCTGCTGGTAACGACAGCCTCAAAGTCGGACTCTACGTCAAAGGGGTCCCCCGAAACAGGAGCATTCCCATCTTCATCGACGACGCGTGGATAGAGCCCACGCACATGACCCAAACCGCCAACTCGTCATCCCAAATGGCCAAGCCGTACCCGTTTGACGCAAAGACACTGATCATAGCGACGACGATGGGCTTCCTCTCCTTTCTCAGCTCCGTAGCCATATGCTTTGTCTTCATGTTCTTCTGGAGTCAAAGTAAAGGACAGATTAAGCACACCGCTACCATCGACTTTGTGCCCAGGTCGTCTATGGGAGGGGGAGGGGAAGGGAGCGAAGGCGGCAGGTTCACAATGAAACTTATCTGAGGTCAAAAGTATCTGGGAGAATCGGAAGGACAGCCAAAGCACTCCTACGGAAATACAAAGGAGAACAGACCACTCCCTCTGAGTTTTAGAGTACATTTCAGTGCATGGTGTGGTGTAGGTCGAACCAGCATTAGAAGAAAGATTCACATTTTGAATAAAGCTTCGCCATTTCTCACGTTTGGAGCCTTGCGGTGCTTTGAGACAAAATTAACTTTGATAAATGTTGATGACGATGACAAAGCCTTCCCATATGACTTCAAACTTTAGATGCAATACTCACAATCCAGTTGTCACTCCCTCGGGAACTCTAAAACTCTATCTTTTTATTATTGCGCTGAAGTTTAACAGAGAGAAAAGTTTTATGACCTTTTCTTTGTTGGATGACATAAGTATTCTCCGATGAGCCGTGGCACATTGGAGGTATAAAAACTGATATAAAAATGCAGCGAAGAGTGAAACTTTTTTTATTGTAATTTAATAATCAGCGCATCTGCCACTGTCTCTGCTGCCAGGAGCCATAAAAGAGAGAAAGCCGGTTCAGGATCGCACACGGCAACTAAAAAGTCAGGGAAAACAGTCCAGCCAAGAATAGTATCTAAATGATTGGTACTTCTCTGCATGCAAAGGCCTAAACAGTATTGTATAATGTTTTACTAAAGGCGACAGAAACATGTTTGTGTATGAGCAGTGTCTTATCAAATCAGACGAAGAGCAGGTTTATCTACATAGCCTAGAACAGTGCTTCCCAAATCAGAGGTATGCAGACCCCTAGTGGTAAACAAGGGTATTACAGGAGGTACATCAAATGATATTCAAGTATTGTTGTAAACTTATAAGAGTAAGAGTTTTATAGGGGCTACTAATACATGTTACACATCATTTTAAAGCAAATATTCTCATCGTAAGAACCATGTAATGTATTGAAGCAAACACATAATGCAATTAATACTAATAATTGTTCTGCAGTAAGACGTCTTATTGAATTTTGGTCCAGTTTTGGTTCAAAAGTCACTACGAGCAATAATTTATGTATAAATTAATACATATACAATGACAAGAATATGTACAATGAATTAGATAAAGATGAAAGAAATTACCAGAAGTGACAGAGGAGCTAAAAAACAGCTTCTAATTGCGAGATTGATACTTGGTATTAAAGACCTTATGCCGGGTTCTTTTAAAAAAAATTGTGGATATCAAAATTGCATGACAATGTCAATCTGAAAGAGATTCCGGCAAAAAAAATCCTATATTTTATAAAAAAGAGTATTTCATGAATTTAAGCTGTCTATGCTCTAAACTGTGTGTGACGTCATAGTGGGTAACGCATTGAAAACCATGGATCTATGCCACAGGACTGCCTTTTCTCTCTTCTCTCCACTGATGCCCAACACAATACTGTACTCTACAGGTGACAATTGCTCACTACACATAAATTGCGGTTTGAGAGTGAGAAAGAGTTGCAATTTAGTATTTATCTCATACTCGCTGTACACGGCCTTGTCATCTTGAATATCCGCGAAAAAAGAAAACTCTGACGTCACCAAGGGCTGTGAAGTTTTTTCGTCTCTAAGGGCGTTGCTATGGGGTTATTTCGATTTGGGGGGATCAGACAAAAAAAACAACAACTGATTTTGAAACCTTTAGTTGTTCTCTTCTAATATAAAATGGTATTAAAACTTTGAAACCTTTAGTAGTTCTCTTCTAATATAAAATGGTATTAAAACTGTATTTCTAAATAAATCAAACCCGGCATAAGGTCTTTAAAGTACTTTTAGTGTTCTGTGATCTCGACCAAAAGACACCTGCGATACGTGAGCGATTTTATTCTCCTTTTCACTGCAGGGAATCCTCGTGCCCTGTATGGACTGGTCAGGGGTTAACACAGAGAAAAATGGTTGGGAACCACTGGACTACAATACTATTTCCAGCAAAACCTTAGTTCAATGATCGACTGCCGTGCATGCATCTGTTAGCATCATGTCAACTTTTTTTTACACTATTTGACAATTAGGATTATTACTGCTTACATCTCATTTAAAACTGTGAGAAGAGATGATAAACACATTTTATTGATAATTAAAATGCATAGGAAGTAAGCCACAAGTTAGGCCTGCTGCAAATGTATATAAATTACCATAATTCTTAGCTATTTAGGCTACAAAATTGCGTCTCATAGGTCGAGAATTATGGTACCAAATTTTGCTCTTGATGATATTGAGATGAAAAATCCAATACATGTTTGATACCAGCACAAAGTGTGCCATATGGTTTTGATCCTTGCCATGCCATTCATTATATATCCATGATGTCAGAGACTTGTAACCTTGAATTTAATTTGCATTTGCTCCACAGAAATGTCAGAGCTTATTCTTAAGAGCTACTAGAAGTGCTAAAATATCGTTATCTTAGAATAGAAGTCTTTTAAAGCAAAACCCATCATAATGTTAGCTTTTTGAACGCTTGCCTTGCACCAGAGTGTTGCTAACTCACTGTAGCATGAATAAGAACAGCTTTCATAGGAGTAAAGTAACCGGAGATGGCTGAATATTTCCTTTGCAATTCGTCAGGTGCCGGTTAAACACATGCATATGCTAATGCTAGCCAAGGACGCATTTGTGCTGTTGACCTATGCTCCGAGGCTATTCCTGCTCCGTCGTGAGAAAAGGAATTGTAAAAATAAATAGCTCTGCAGTCGCCAAAGCTAACCTGAGTGGGAGAAATGAAAGCTGCAGGCATTTAAAAGAAAGACAAGAGAGAAAAACATGTTTGGCAGTAAAAACGATCCCAGAAGCTAACCGTGTTTTCGAGATAGAAATTTGCCCGGCTTTGCAACGACTATGCATGGTTACTGCCAGAATGCAAGTGGCAATTCTCTTCATTTTTGCTTGGATATGTACTCCCAGCATGCGGACTAATGCAAACATATGTTAACTCACTTAAAACCGATACAACGTTAAGGGAAATAAGTAGTTTAGCAAATGTATATAAGAATGTAAGCTTCTGAGGGTAAGCCGCGAGCATCCCAGTCGTTCAACTCTTGTCGATTGCTTTGATTTACAGTTTTTAGGGGTTCATTTTGATATACTTTTGTAATGTTTTATTTTATTGTGAAGTCAAAGGAACACACCACTCAGAATGTGCCTCAGTAACACGAAACCACAGACACAGAATGCTCCCCCGCTCTCTGTCTTGTCCTGGAAACGAAAGGGTTCAAGGGTTTGTAAGGTCATTTCTGAAGCTTGTACGATACACACGAGTCGATGGTTTTGGTCGGTAGCCTCTTCCCACGAACTCTCTCGCCAACTTCCACCGTTCAATTCTATGCAAATCCGTTCTGTAATTCGCTTCCAAGACTTTGAAACCGGCGTCGCGTTGCCATTTCTCCACGCCGAGCCATAAACGCCAACGTAAGAACGACTTTTTTGCACTGAAATTAGACCACCGACCAAACTCGTCCGTTGGAACCATTCAAACTTCTGACAAAAACACATCCTATTCTCGCACAGATGTGGTCTGCTTTACACAACAATGTTTTGATTTGATTAAAAGCATTTCAAATCGGTGCCAATTGTGTTCTTTGTGAGTCCGTCTCCAAATGGGTGGAATCGCGTCTGGTTTAAGCCTCTTACTGAAGCCGTCTTTGAAACGACTGGTGGATAAGTGTCGAAGCTGGCAGGAGATTCTTCCTCTCAACTCGATTCAATCCATTTGTTATGTTTAGAGCCTGAAACCACAACAGCTGCCTTCACAAAGTTGTCGATTCGCCAACAGATTAGAGAATCAGTTTGAACACAAGACATGCAATAGTAAAAAAACATCTAGAAGCCATTGGTCCGAAGGGAGAAGGAAGACCACTGTCCATAAATGTCCATAAATTAGTAAATGTCCATAAATGTCAAAAATAATTGTTGTAAAAATATTGTGTTAAAAAAGGATTTGTGTTTATTATCAATTGAAATTTTATTAGTTTATTATCTTATGGAGTAAGTACATATTCTGGCCGCAAAATTGGTTGGACAAGAATTATTATTATTATTATATTTAACCCTTTAATGGTTTCCTCAACCATTTAGAGAACTTTTTGACTCACTATATCTACATATTTTGGACATCTCACTTGGTTTTAGGCACTAGGGGTTAAAACACACACACACGCAAACACACACACACACACACACACACACACACACACACAACGGTAATTAGTGGTACTACACCTTAGAAAATCCAAAAAAGAAAAAAAACAAATGTCTTTTTTCAAGGAGTGAACATCAAAGGGTTGAAACAACTTTTGATCCATATAATTTAACAATATAATAATTTGAATGAACAGATTTAAAACTTCCTTATAGATATTGGGATCTGGAACACACAGGAGAGAGCAGAGCACAAACACAGCTAATCAGCTTTAGAGCACTGGGGACGCTCTCCAGGAGGTTTGGCTGCTGCTCCGAGAATTCAGTTTGCAAAATGGAGCAAAAAGCAGCTCAGAAGATTTAGATTTATTGGTTATGGTCTTAAATGAACAGCAGTCTTAAAATGAACTTTATGAAGTTTGATTTGACAACAAGAAGTGAAAGAATCTATCATATGAAAAGGAAGTGGCCAGAAATGTCAGGAAATTTCTCGAATCATCACAGTTCTTAGACCCCCAACATCGGCAAGGATCAAGTCAAAAGAAACCCAGTGGAGAAAAAAGGGAGAAACCTCAGGCTGTAGATCCAGGACTGAGGCTGTAGATCCAGGACTGAGGCTGTAGATCCAGGACTGAGGCTGTAGATCCAGGACTGAGGCTGTAGACCCAGGACTGAGGCTGTAGACCCAGGACTGAGGCTGTAGATCCAGGACTGAGGCTGTAGATCCAGGACTGAGGCTGTAGACCCAGAACTGAGGCTGTAGTTCCAGGACTGAGACTGTAGATCTAAGCCTCAGACTGTAGAACAAGGACTGAGGGGGCTCCCAGACGGGGAAGAGTCCGGAGCGGTTGAATAGCAATG